AATGTTGTCTACGGATTGTTTTGGAATGTTGTCTACGGATTGTTTTGGAATGTTGTCTACGGATTGTTTTGGAATGTTGTCTACGGATTGTTTTGGAATGTTGTCTACGGATTGTTTTGGAATGTTGTCTACGGATTGTTTTGGAATGTTGTCTACGGATTGTTTTGGAATGTTGTCTACGGATTGTTTTGGAATGTTGTCTACGGATTGTTTTGGAATGTTGTCTACGGATTGTTTTGGAATGTTGTCTACGGATTGTTTTGGAATGTTGTCTACGGATTGTTTTGGAATGTTGTCTACGGATTGTTTTGGAATGTTGTCTACGGATTGTTTTGGAATGTTGTCTACGGATTGTTTTGGAATGTTGTCTACGGATTGTTTTGGAATGTTGTCTACGGATTGTTTTGGAATGTTGTCTACGGATTGTTTTGGAATGTTGTCTACGGATTGTTTTGGAATGTTGTCTACGGATTGTTTTGGAATGTTGTCTACGGATTGTTTTGGAATGTTGTCTACGGATTGTTTTGGAATGTTGTCTACGGATTGTTTTGGAATGTTGTCTACGGATTGTTTTGGAATGTTGTCTACGGATTGTTTTGGAATGTTGTCTACGGATTGTTTTGGAATGTTGTCTACGGATTGTTTTGGAATGTTGTCTACGGATTGTTTTGGAATGTTGTCTACGGATTGTTTTGGAATGTTGTCTACGGATTGTTTTGGAATGTTGTCTACGGATTGTTTTGGAATGTTGTCTACAGATTGTTTTGGAATGTTGTCTACGGATTGTTTTGGAATGTTGTGTACAGATTGTTTTGGAATGTTGTGTACAGATTGTTTTGGAATGTTGTCTACGGATTGTTTTGGAATGTTGTGTACAGATTGTTTTGGAATGTTGTCTACGGATTGTTTTGGAATGTTGTGTACGGATTGTTTTGGAATGTTGTGTACAGATTGTTTTGGAATGTTGTCTACGGATTGTTTTGGAATGTTGTGTACGGATTGTTTTGGAATGTTGTGTACAGATTGTTTTGGAATGTTGTCTACGGATTGTTTTGGAATGTTGTGTACAGATTGTTTTGGAATGTTGTCTACGGATTGTTTTGGAATGTTGTGTACAGATTGTTTTGGAATGTTGTCTACGGATTGTTTTGGAATGTTGTGTACAGATTGTTTTGGAATGTTGTCTACGGATTGTTTTGGAATGTTGTCTACGGATTGTTTTGGAATGTTGTCTACGGATTGTTTTGGAATGTTGTCTACGGTTTGTTTTGGAATGTTGTCTACGGATTGTTTTGGAAAGTTGTGTACATATTGTTTTGGATTGTTGTGTACAGATTGTTTTGGAATGTTGTCTACAGATTGTTTTGGAAAGTTGTGTACATATTGTTTTGGAATGTTGTGTACAGATAGTTTTGGAATGTTGTCTACGGATTGTTTTGGAATGTTGTCTACGGATTGTTTTGGAATGTTGTGTACAGATTGTTTTGGATTGTTGTCTACGGATTGTTTTGGAATGTTGTGTACAGATTGTTTTGGAATGTTGTGTACAGATTGTTTGGGAATGTTGTCTACGGATTGTTTTGGAATGTTGTCTACGGATTGTTTTGTATTGTTGTCTACGGATTTGTTTATGAAATGTTGTGTTCAGATTGTTTTGGAATGTTGTGTACATATTGTTTGTGATTGTTGTGTACAGATTGTTTTGGAATGTTGTCTACGGATTGTTTTGGAACGTTGTCTACGGATTGTTTTTGAATGTTGTGTACAGATTGTTTTGGAATGTTGTCTACAGATTGTTTTGAAATGTTGTCTGCAGGTTGTTTTTCATTGTTGTCTACGGATTTCTCAAGATTGGATTGTTCGGAAGGTGACTGCACGAAAAATTCGCGTCTGTCGTGTTTTATAGGTTTTGTTTAACTGAAGATGTGTTATGTGTAGTTTTAAAAACCATGGAGAGATGTGCATCTCTAAATCATTCTAAAAGACTGCCTGTCAATGTCTCGGGCTTGTCACCAACACACAGAAGGTGACATGACTGAATGTTGCCTTCTGTCATAGAAATTATTATTTTGATCTAACATAATTTGTATCATACTTCATATAATGTTTATTTGAACGTGGTTAGGATATTACGGCATTTGTTAAGCGACAATTTGACCCTGGCAGTCTGCCTCAATTACATTGTTATTAATCGCTTAAAGGTCACTATGACCGTGACTCCGGTGCCCACCATATTGCATTATAGATGACGAGCAAATGTGCTTCATTAATGGAAAGACTCGCCAATAGTTGTTTTATTCTTAATGGACGCTAACCTTATCTGTGCATCTATAAATTAAGTACAGACTACAATGACGTGGCCTCTTGTTGTTGTTAGCGTTGACTGAAAGCTTTGTTGTAAGTACGGTGTAATATTGCTCTCTATAGGTAAAATGGTTCCTGGTTAATATTTATGATTATTATTTAATAATTTCCCATCGCTTAACTAACGATATGCTCATGCGTTTAGTTTCAGTAAAATTCTGTTGATAGTGGATCTTTGCTTGACCATAGTAGGACACGAGGTTGGATGGCGCGTGCGGTGTTGTTGGTTAATTGTCCGGATATCGATCGTTGCACACCTGTAATCCATAAACCCGTCCATTTAGGTCCTGCTAATTGACCAGTTTCCAGAAAATTGAATTAGGAATCAGGCCATTGATGACAATGTACTTGTGTTAAGACAAAACGGTCAGCTGTCACATTAATACAACTGCTAATCCGAGTCGCTTTGACGCAGTAATTCTGGCGATGATCCGGGTCTCTTTGACGCTTAATCCATGTGATAATCCGTGTCACATTGACGCTTTAATCCAGGTGATAACTCGACTCACTTTGACGTTATTATCTAGGTGAGTATCCCTACACTAAAAAATGTCATGTTAACCACATCATCGATATCCCGGGGTTACGCTCAGTTTCACTCTCTCTGCACCCCTTGGATATAGCATAGCAAAATGTAAGGCACACGGCTGGATATATGATTGGTGTCAGGTAAAAATAACCTGACCAATCACTAGGCTGATACTTGCCTTTTGAAGACCACAGAGGAGCGACGCCCGACTTTAAAGCCTATACGTTTTACCGCTACGCCGCCGCGAGATTCTTTTGATGCACATCAAAGGTTCAAACCAGTCTTCTCGTCTCGTCCAAGTTTTAAGTTCCAATTTTTTATTTACCAAATGCAATACAGCATATAGGTTAAATACAGTTACATCACACATGGTTCATAATAAAGTACAATATACAAGATGGCGGAGGATAATTCATGGTTCACATTTAACAAATAAAATTGTATTAACCCACAAGGGCTTTTCTTTTGGCAGTTGAATGCAATAAAGTTTACTAAAAGTTTTCACATTTTTACATGAAAATGATTCCGTCAATTTATAAACACTAGGATGTCGATAATAATATTGTCCACAAAGCGGTTCACACTGAGCCTTCGGATTTGCTATGACATATTCCAGGGGTGTAGAGAGCGAATTTGAAGGTGTGTATACTCCCTTGATATCGAGGCTGTGTTAACCGAAGTGTATCAACTCCATGTTAACAGGATTCTACCACAGGGACCTGAGAATTTGTTACAGATATACACTGTATTTGGAACTAAACTTAGGTGTTTAGAGTATTTTTTACGCCTAAGGGGGGAGGACGTAGATCAATTTTCGACACAAAAAGGCCAAACCCAATGATGAATACATACGAGATGGAGATGTTTACAAGAAAAAATATTCATGTGTCCAATAGTGCTAAGCATTTTAATGTACATTAACTGAAAATGTGGTTTTTAATGTTATGTTGGGTCAATTTTCTAACATCGAGAGCTTTCCTGCCTTCTCGAATATATCATCATTCGGGGTACCGAAAGTTTATCTAAACCCCTAAAACATGTTACATTATATGAACCAATTACTTTTGGTCCAAATATAGCTATAACAAAATCTCAGGTCCCTGCAATTCATTGCAATACGTGGAAATATAATTTGTTTAGGTCTCGTGAGTAATAAGGACAGGCACTGATTCTAACGTAGTTTGTTAGATGTGTGGCACTTCTATATTTAGTTAATTGTTACATGACCAGAGAAATAATATTCCGTCTTTGCGTATTGCAGAGTTATCTGATCTTGTGAGCAGGTATTGATTGTTACGTCATTTGTTTGTGAGAGTAACGTCATACAAACCAATGACGTAACAATCAATACCTGCTCACCAGAGAAGATAACTCTGCAATACGCAAAGACGGAATACATAAAGTGGACAATAAAGATAGAAATCTCCAAGGCAATGCATCCATTTTAACAAAACACAAAATACAAAACAGGGAGCAATACGCCACTGAATTATTACCAAGTCAAAACGTAAACGTTGGACTGTAAAACTCCTCGGTCGGCTGGCATAGGAAGGCGATCGTTTTAATTATGTATCTACTGGCGAACTACACCAGTACATGGTATATAGCACTGGAGCAGGTCCTTCCGACTCCTACATCAGGTACCTTACGAATTATTCACAAATCTTGTAATGATATTGATCCAGTTTAATCTGTTTGGTTCATTGTCTATTATGTTGCTTTCTACTTCTCTGGTTTTATGTAAAACTTTTTTTATATATATAATGTAACAGATGCTGACAATATACCAGTCTGGTTATATAAATATTTCACACATACAGTGCTCGCTTACTTACAAGTATAGATTACATCATATACAAAAGAAAAAACAAAACCAGTTTTTGCAGAAATAAATCCCTGTGATTTTACACTCTTATCGAACGTGATAACGACATGTACCAACACTATTTAAATGTATTGTGACGACTTTTACCCACCTGAGTAATACCTATAATCATACAGTCCCGACCAATCACTCGCGAGCGACGTCAGAACACCTACCTGTACAAGCTCCCGTATTGCTTGCTGTCTCTAACCCGTGTACTAGTAATACTCCGGACGTATTGTTTACGCTGGTTAAGCTACGATACACTTCGATGACTTTGAATGAAAAATAATAACAACGACCAGCTCGCAGTTGTCTCCCTATAACCCTTATAGTCGGGGACAAAAAAAGACATTTTTGGAACATTGAAGCCACTTGGTCAAGGGTCACACGTGGACGTGACAGCGCGTGTACCTAGATCTGTGACAGCACGTGTACCTAGGTCTGTGCTAGAACCAAAGGGAGCATCGGATATGTTGAACAGCCGACTTAGGGAGGTAAGGTCTGTTAATCGATTGTATATCCCGGCTTCACGATTTGAGACGGACAGACACATCTGTTTACATTGATGTGGTACAAAGTAACACGATACTGGATCCTACGCGTATATTGATTCTCGGGTAGATGGGTCCCTGGAGTGAGTTTGTTTAAAATAGATATTTTAATTATTTAAATCAGGTGTTCTATTTAAAGAAAATATCAATGCTTGGTGATCTTCAATCATAACAGAAACCTAGTAAATGCACATGTTAAATAAATGAGTGTTTGAGTACGACTGAGAATACTTAAACTGGACGCTTAACGTATTATTAACGAAGGCTTCGCGCGTGTGTTATATCTGTCAGTATAACACAGGGGCTAGTAACTGTTATATCTGTCAGTATAACACAGGGGCTAGTAACTGTTATATCTGTTAGTATAACACAGGGGCTAGTAACTGTTATATCTGTCAGTATAACACAGGGGCTAGTAACTGTTATATATGTCAGTATAACACAGGGGCTAATAACGACAGATAAGGAGTAAAGAATACCAAGAAAATGAATACATATTTACGCCCCCTTGTGGTGTAACTCGGTGACATTAGCGGTTGTGTGTGAATGTGGTATCGTAAGAATCTACTTGGTGAGGGGCAAACAACCATACCCCCCTCCCCTGTCAAGGAATAAAACATATTTTGATTTGATTCATATTAACAGTCTTAAATGACAATGCATGGTAGGGAATGCAACAGTTGATATGTTCAGGTTAAAGTTCAAGTTCTTGATTACTTTGAGTCTTTCGACCCATCGGTTTCAAAAGTGAGATATTTCAGTACACACAGACAATACAATACAATACATACAATACCAGCAATGTACAAACAGTATGAAGAGTTTAACACGTTAAGTTAATTGGTTTCTTCTTACATTTGACACTTTTAAATATTTGGCCAAATTGACTAGTTCTTTTGTGTTATTTACTTTAAATAATTTTTAATCATTTTAAACATATATGTTTTTTAACTTGTGTTTTTTTCAAAACTTTAACACGCAAATTAGAATAACATGGAAATTTCGACATAAAATGAAACTCATCTTCAACATCGTTTTAATTACATACAGTACATACTCTAAGACTACGTTCAATATTTTGATATCTTCCTTTTTCTATATTGAAATTATGAGCAGATAACATATTTTTTGTGATTTCTTTTAAATATTCTCTTGCTAATGTTTCTTTTAAGTAACACTGTAAATCAAACTGGTTGTAAAGATATGTATAGATATATCCCTTCGAAGATGTTCTTACTTTTTCTTTGCATTCTTGTCGATACATTGTATATATATCAATAAGTCTTTCCCTAATAACATTATAACACATATCATCATTTATTTCTGTTTCCCATATGTAACTAAGGCCAATTCTATATAAATAATGTTTTATGTTCAAAACCCATTTATCCTTATTCTCGAAATCACTTTATGACATGCTTGCAAAATTTAATTTTTAGTCCTCTTTGATTTAATCCAATATTAAATAATTATTAACTTTCCTACCAATGACAATCTATATCTCCCAAGTTCTAAGTAAACCATAATATTACAAGTAATGTTCTAACGCCCAGCAGTCGTTTTAAAAACAAAGTATGATTTTTTTCAATATCTGAGGTTTTCATGAAGCCCCTATTTCAGAACCGTAGCTTACAATGCTATTTACATACGTATCAAAAACCTGATAATTGAGTTTCGATATGAAGATATTTTCTCGACATAAATTCAGAACTGAAAACAAAGCCTTTCTACCCTGATCTGCAATTTTTGTTGTGATTTTCTGAAGGTTCCATTGTAATTTAAAAAGATTCCTTTGTAATTAAATTCATTTACAATTTCTAACTGACAACCATTGTATTTCAACATTCATTATTTCTCAAAATACCCCCATTTCGAAACACAAGAACTGATTCAAAGCAGAAAATCATACATACAATTTAATACAAATGGAAAAGGATCCGGAACAATTTAGGACACTTGAGATACATCCGTTTCCTTATGGTGACACAACTTGGGAGTGATGAAGCGTATACAATATACAATGTAACTGGATATGGTAATTGGTGGGGGTCAGAACAATAACTGATATTGACGGTGATGTTATGTCAGTTCGAATTTCAAATAACTATATGCACACTTATTTTGTGTATGGGACGCCATCATAGATTGTATGCATGATTATTAAAAACATCTGTCACGATATAGTTGGCCTGTTTCTGTCTTTGGTTTTCATTCCGTCCAGATTCGAGTCCTCTTTGCTCAAAATATTGCCAGTCAGTTTCTTGATAGAGTTTAGCTTTGCTTTAAAGAGTTCAGCTTTACTTGATAGAGTTTAGCTTTACTGTAAAGAGTTTAGCTTTACTTGAAAGAGTTTAACTTTACTTGAAAGAGTTTAACTTTACTTGAAAGAGTTTAGCTTTACTTGAAAGAGTTTAGCTTTACTTGATATAGTTAAGCTTTACTTGATAAAGTTTAGCTTTACTTGAAAGAGTTTAGCTTTACTTGAAAGAGTTTAGCTTTACTTGAAAGAGTTTAGCTTTACTTGATATAGTTAAGCTTTACTTGATAAAGTTTAGCTTTACTTGAAAGAGTTTAGCTTTACTTGAAAGAGTTTAGCTTTACTTGAAAGAGTTTAGCTTTACTTGATATAGTTAAGCTTTACTTGATAAAGTTTAGCTTTACTTGAAAGAGTTTAACTTTACTTGAAAGAGTTTAGCTTTACTTGAAAGAGTTTAGCTTTACTTGAAAGAGTTTAGCTTTACTTGAAAGAGTTTAGCTTTACTTGATAGAGTTAAGCTTTACTTGATAAAGTTTAGCTTTACTTGAAAGAGTTTAACTTTACTTGAAAGAGTTTAGCTTTACTTGATAGAGTTTAGCTTTACTTGAAAGATTTTAACTTTACTTGAAAGAGTTTAGCTTTACTTGAAAGAGTTTAGCTTTACTTGATACAGTTAAGCTTTACTTGATATAGTTTAGCTTTACTTGAAAGAGTTTAACTTTACTTGAAAGAGTTTAGGTTTACTTGAAAGAGTTAAGCTTTACTTGATAAAGTTTAGCTTTACTTGAAAGAGTTTAACTTTACTTGAAAGAGTTTAGCTTTACTTGATAGAGTTTAGCTTTACTTGAAAGAGTTTAGCTTGACTTGAAAGAGTTAAGATATACTTGATATAGTTTAGCTTTACTTGATATAGTTAAGCTTTACTTGATAGAGTTTAGCTTTACTTGATAAATTTTAGCTTTACTTGAAAGAGTTTAACTTTACTTGAAAGAGTTTAGCTTTACTTGATAGAGTTTAGCTTTACTTGATAGAGTTTAGCTTTACTTGATTTAGTTAAGCTTTACTTGATAGAGTTTAGCATAGAGTTTAGCTTTACTTGATAGAGTTTAGCTTTCCTTGTTAGAGGTAAGCTTTACTTGTTAGAGGTAAGCTTTACTTGATAGAGTTTAGCTTTACTTGAAAGAGTTTAGCTTTACTTGATAGAGTTAAGATTTACTTGATAGGATTTAGCTTTATTTGGTATAGTTAAGCTTTACTTGATAAAGTTTAGCTTTACTTGAAAGAGTTTAACTTTACTTGAAAGAGTTTAGCTTTACTTGATATAGTTTAGCTTTACTTGAAAGAGTTTAGCTTTACTTGATATAGTTAAGCTTTACTTGATAGAGTTTAGCTTTACTTGAAAGAGTTTAGATTTACTTGAAATAGTTAAGATATACTTGAAAGAGTTTAGCTTTACTTGATAGTTTAGCTTTACTTGAAAGAGTTTAACTTTACTTGAAAGAGTTAAGATATACTTGAAAGAGTTTAGCTTTACTTGATAGAGTTAGGCTTTACTTGAAAGAGTTTAGCTTTACTTGAAAGAGTTAAGCTTTACTTGAAAGAGTTTAGCTTTATTGAAAGAGTTCAGCTTTACTTGAAAGAGTTAAGATATACTTGAAAGAGTTTAGCTTTACTTGAAAGAGTTTAGCTTTACTTGATATACTTAATCTTTACTTGATAGGGTTTAGCTTTACTACTTTTTATCATATTTTATTTTTGATTGTTCACATGTTAGTACACAGTGGAGTACATGACAATTATTACATTGTATTATTACATATTGTCTCGCATACTAATGAATTATAACTTCTTTTTCATTTTGTTTCTATTTCATGTACAATAACAACTGCTTGCTTTCTTATTATTAGGTAGGAAAATATTCTAGATATGATGAACATCGATAGCACGAATGAGCAAAATATGGATTTAAATTCAATTGATCAATGTTCAATGCCTTGCTGATAACGGCCCACTTCGCTACTACTTGGTCGGCTTTTGCTCGGGGATATGACAGGATACATTGATTTTCAATTAGCTTATAGCATGATATTGCAGAACGGAACCCGCCAATAGTTGGCATTGCATGTTTGTATCTGCATGAGTAAATATATTTCTTTATGATGATAGAGTTTAGCTGTACTTGATAGAGTTTAATTTTACTTGATAGAGTTTAGCTTTACTTGATATAGTTTAGTTTAAACTTTATTTTATTGATGTTAAATTACAATAGTACATGGTTATAAATACAGAAAAGGATCCAGAAACAAGTACATAGTATTTATGTAAATCCGTCTCCTTATAGACATAACAGCAGCTATGGATCATTACTGACAATATTATAATTCATATAAATAAATATAAATATATATAAAGTATAACATGTGCAGGGAAATGAAAGAGAAAGGGTGCAAGGATTTATAGTGGGGTGGGGATGATGTTTGATGGGGAAGCGACGGGCATCAAAACTGCATTGAGAGAACAAACGCTGATTGCATGAATACCAACGATATTTGACGAGAGAGCACTGTGTTTGTATGTTATGAAAACTGATAGAGTTTAGCTTTACTTGTTATAGTTTAACTTTACTTGATAGAGTTTAGATTTACTTGTTAGAGTTAAGCTTTACTTGATAGAGTTTAGCTTTACT